CATTTCTCCTCGAATGACTTCTCCACCTGTCCATGGTCTCACCTTGCTCTTCTCCCTTTCCTGGTGGCCTTATGGTGCCTCCTTAGCACAACCTTGGACTTCCCTTTTTTCTCTGGATTCAGAATCTCCATCCGTGTTGGCCCTTCATGTAATAAGAGTAAATGTTCTTAAGGGGTCTAGCCTGACCTCTGAGCTTTTGGCTCCTATTCTCCACCAAAGCCTCCCCTGGGTTCACCGTGGCCCTCAGGAGAAACCTGATGACAGTGGATGAGAACTTTCTCTGGGGGCTCCAGCCTGGCTCCTCTCCTTTTTAATATATTCAGGCATTCACTGAACAATAAAGTGCAAGCACATACTATGGGACAGACCCCGAGGAAAGAGACCCTTGTGGCATGTCCCTGTTGCCATGGAGCTTGAGTTGGAGGGACGCAGTCCTGTGGTCTCAGTTCCTTCCCTCACCCCAGGGTCTTCAGTGCTGATATCTCCCCCAAGAATCACAAGAATGTATGTGGAGTGAGCTACTAGGACTTTCAGCACCAGTTATGGATCAGGGAGGGGGTGTTTCTGCACATCCTCTTCCATGGCAAATCACCTTAATCTCTGGTCATGTTCATCAAAATGATGAGCTCTTCCAAAAGTAGTGCCTACCATGGAGGGCAAGGAAAGGCACAGTTCCACCTTTTTTTTTTATGTTTAGCCCAGTTTTCTTTTTTTTATTTGGCTCCACTGCTGGATATTAAAAGAATATCTTTCTATTCTGGTCTCATCAGGGTGAGACCAGATTCTGTGAACATAGAGTGTTCAAAAGAGTACAGGGTTAGAGCAATGGAAAGTACCCAGGCTTTGGTACCATCCAGTCCAGGGCTCCATTCCTTCATGTGGGTGAGTTTGCTATATCATTTATAAAATGGTACAATCAAAATGGCAGGGCTTGTGGTGAGGGTTAAATACTGTAGGTAAAGCCTCCGTACATTCAACTGTCAATATAAGGAGGTGTTACTGTCAGTACTGCTGTACTGCTGTGATGTCTCTGTTTAACTTACCTCACTGGGTAAGTTCCCTAGGAGCTCTGATGACAAGTTTTCCTCTGTACAAAGAAGAAAGCAATACTTTTCTCTTAGAGCAGGGGTTGGCAAACTATAGCCTCTGGGCAAATCTAGGCTGTCACCTCTTGTGAATAAAGTTTTATTGGAACACAGCTACACTCATTTATTTATATATTTTTGCACTGCAGTAGTAGAACTGAGTAGTTGTGATAGAGGCTGTGTGACCACAAAGCTAAAAATATTGACTGTCTAATCCTTTACAAAAAATGTTTGCTGACCTCTGTCTTAGAGAGTGGTGATGTTGGAGTCACCTATATCTACATTAATATACATACAGGTAATACACATAGACCTACATAGTTCAAATATGGTGCCTGGCACACAGTGGAAGTCCAAGAAATCTTTAGTTTCTCTACAGAACTTAATTCTGCTCAAGAATACACAGGATCATATCTAAGAAATGCAGAGGAAGACACATTTTTATTTTTATTGAATTCTATTCCTCTCTCATTTTCAAAAAAAGAGCTCATGTTTTTTTAAAAAAATTCTGATTGACACTATAAACTTTATTTATGCTTTAATGTATCCTAAAGTATGTATCCTGCACTATTTTTACTTCCCTTACAGATGCTGATATGCTATACATTACCAAACCCAAATGGATTTTCAAAATCCAATTTCCTTGCTACAGTTTTCCATTTCTCTGTTGACTTTTATGTCTGATTCATGTCAGAGCCTCTGGGGCCATTGCCACATTTTGACCTCAGCCTGCCCAGGGAAATAGCTCTTCTGGGCAGGTGCTGGGTCCTTGGCCAGTGGCTGCACTTCTCTGTCCCCCCTCAATATGGATCTTCAGCAAACCTCAACTGAGCCCAGCTTCTGGGGTGGGGGTAGGTTTTTTGGGTTTTGTTCCTCCCAAAAATAATTGCAGTGAGATTGAGATCAATTAAATGATGTCACCTGCTCCTCAAATCCGAATGAGGTTAGCATCCAAATGAGTGTCTTTGGGGACTGTATTAGTCCATTTTCACACTGCTGCTAAAGACATACCTGAGACTGGGTAATTTATAAAGAAACAGGTTTAGCGGAGTCATAGTTCTGTGTGGCTGGGGAGGCCTCACAGTCATGGTGGAAGGTGAGAGGAACATTTTACATGGTGGCAGACAAGAGAAAATGAGAGCCGAGTGACTTTTTTTTTTATCAGATCTTGAGAGACTTATTCATTACCACAAGAACTGTATAGGAGGAACCACCCCCATGATTCAATTATTTCCCACCAGGTCCTTCCCACAACACGTTGGAATTATGGGAGCTACAACTGAAGATGAGATTTGGATGAGGACATAGCCAAACCATATCAGGGATTCTCTGCAACCATAACTCTGCCCTGAGTAGCCTACCATAAACCTGCAGCAATGTCTGGAACCTTTTTTGTGTGTGTCACGTGTTATGGCCCCTAGGAATTGTGCCAAGACAGATGGATGTTATTGGGTTTAGATGTTTTCTGCTCTCAGTCCAGGGGAAGCTTGGCTTTAATTTCTCCTCCTCTTGGTAGCTCTCAGTGGCATGACACCCTAGCTGGTACTTGTGCTGACTGCATGGGTCTGTATCTCTGTGGTTCCTCAGAGTTCCAGTTCTTTCTGAATCTCTGGAATTCTTAAATATTACAACTGGAAGGTTCATTGCAATCATCTTATCCAGCCCCTTGCCTTGCACAGCAGAAAATGAAGGCTCAGAAATGGGGAAGGAATATGAAGCCAAGAGGCGATACTCACAGGGCAATATCGGTTGCTGTTGGGTTATACAGTCGTGAGCTCATAGCCACTCTATTTCTCAATATAGAGACAGAAGACTCAGAAAGTTACCTGAAATACATATTAGGTATATTTTCTCTCCTGAATATTTCTTAAAACATACCTTTGAGTCAAGTCAGACCAATAGGGAGCAGGTATCCGGACTGCATTGTGTTGGGCCCCAGTGAGCTTTTACTGAATTGTATGTTTGGGCGATGCTGTCAATTTATAACGGGGATGATTATGAGAAAAGTCTCATTAAATTGGCCATTCACCCCCTTGTGCGGATGTTGTTTCATTATGGGATATGGAGTTTCTGTTACGACTATTCCTGCAGAGAAGTTCTTGTCTGATCAAAGCCCCTGAAATGGTTGTCATTTCCCCGAGCAATTTGGCTTTTATTACATAAACACAAGAGTGTCTAGTATCTGACCAGTTTTTGCTTTTTTTCTGTTGGGTGTCAGAAGCTCAGAGCTAAATATGTAACCCCCTTTTAGCAGATGAGCACGTGGAAAATCGCAGCATAGATTTGTGGCTCCCTCCTTCTGTCCTGCTTTTCTTTCTTTTCCTGTCCTCAATTTGATTTTTGTCATCATGCAGCATTTCCTGCTTCTATGTTTAACCGGCTGCTGTGGCTGGACCAGTGACCAGTTAGGCAGCATTCCTTGAAATTCCCTGCTTTGCCGGGAGCCCAAGGGCTCCATGGAAAAACCACGAACTGTGTATTGCTGGGATTCCGATGTGTATGAGTGATGAAAGTACAAAACAGGAGCCTGTTTGTAGAAACTCTTCTGTAGGAGGGACATTAACGTTCCTCTAAGTGACCCTAAGGTCCCCATTTTCCCTCCTGAACACATATGTCATCCCGTAAGTGATGACAAATTATGGCAGAGTGGGATAGAATTGACAGTGGGGCCGGCATATTCTGAAGAAATAGTGGCTCAAGGTAGAGTGCAAAGCTGCCTTTAAATTCACTCTAAGCGAGCTCCTCTGCGGAGGCAAAGAGAGGACTGTGGTTTGAAAATAAAAATTGGGTCACTGAGGTCCAAGGCCTGCTGCTATGGAACCCTATCATCAAAGAGGAGGCTGTAAGAAGGGAAAAGTATTTGCTTACCTGCTGCAGATTGAAGTGACCAACAGAGCTCAGCAGAGAGGAGAAGCAAGGTGGTTGAGTGGGTGACTGTGAAGAGGAGGGATGTCCCTAGACCTTAGAGGGCCAGGACCTGTCAGCAGTCAGGTCAGGATCAGCCGAGCAACCTCCCTGCAATTAGGCAGAGGCAGGGAGGTGAGGGATGGGCAATAGATCCAATGGATTTGGGGTAACTATTAATGTAACCTTGCTTGGGAGTTGTAACCTGGGATGCCTAGAGGTATAACTGTGAGCTCTCATAAATCTTATCTAGAAGAAGGAAGAGGATTTGGTTCATTAAACCATCAACTAAAATAAATTAATAACTTGGATTTTTTAGCATCAACACATACATAAGAAAGCATATTTTGGATTGCATCTTCACTGTATGTTTGCGTGCTTATCTTTCTTTTTTTTTTTTTTTTT